TCAAACTCACCGCATCGTTCGCAGAAGTGTCCGCCATCAGCATGTTGGCACTGTAGAGCTTGGCATTATGTAAAGTCATGTCCTCCACTACCTCACTTACTTTAGCTGGTGTTCCTCAAGGTGCCGTTCTTTCTCCTTTTCTGTTTTCTTTTTTCTTACATGACTTGCCCCATTCTGATGTAGCCACTTTTGTCAAGTATGCTGATGACCTTTCTGTCTCCACGCCTGTTAACTCTCAGTCAGACTGTTCCATATTAAATAACTTTCTCTCGGAAATTAGTCAGTGGTCCTCTTCAAACGGTCTTAAGCTGAATCCGTCTAAATGTCAGGTAGTAAATTTTACTTTCAGACGAAAAAGTGACCTTCAACAACTAGCTAGCTCACATGGTCCCACTATCATTGACGGCGTAGAGGTTAAAACTACATCAGATGTCAAGTACCTTGGACTGAGTATTTCCTCCGATCTTTCCTGGTCCTCTCACATCTTGCTAGTGACTAGAAAGATGTTTCGCTTAACGTTCTACCTAAGGAAGTTTAGGCAGTCTGGTATAAAGCAGTCTTTACTTTCTCAGTTTGTCAATTCCTGTATTCTACCCATCCCTCTTTACTGCTCCCCATTAATCTTTCCTGGACTACTTAAGAAAGACTTTGCTTCGCTGCATAGGGCACTAAAAGCTGTTAGTAGGGCAAGTGGGATTTCGTTAAACCAACTGGTTAACACAATTGTGGATAGACATATAATGTCATGTAAGAAACTAGCAAATTCTATATTGTCAGACCCCGAACACCCTCTCCATACGCAGCTCTCTCCTTGCATTTCATCTGGTAGAACTAGAAGCAACTATAGGAAGCTATATGCCAGGACTACCAAGTATAAAAACTCCACAATACCTTATCTCGCACAGCTGTTATGTGATGAGAAAACTGTTAGGCATGACATGATCAATTTACTGCGGCACTCTAACAAATAGTTCCCATTAGCTTTTGTTCTCCTTTCTTTGTTACTATTATATTGTTGCTCATATATTCTATTACAGACTAATTTTATATATCATATCCTGTGGTGCATTGTTTAAATATGTGAATGCAATGCTGTTCTTTTTTTCTTTTATTTCTCTTTTTCTTTTTGTTGTTGTTGCTTTATATTTCTAAATCCTTATAAAATTTATGAGGTAATTAGATGCAATATTGTAATGAACGCTGAAAATTCCATACCTGTACCACAAATACTGTTTGGAATAAAGCCATTATTATTATTATTATTAATAAATGCTGACGATACCACATCATTAGACACAAAGATAGTTACTGCAATCAGATTTACCGACCAAGGTTCAGAAGCCGATCCTGTCGACGTCCCATTCCAAAAGCTGTGAGTATCAAAGTTGCCTATTACATCGTCCCTCCTGCTCCATATATATATAGACTGGAGCAACAATCAACTCTGTCGACATGCCTGGCATGGCATCTGATCTAACGATAATATCTAAGGAGTTATTGCAGAAATTAGATGCCCCAACATAAAAAAGACAGATCAGATAACAATCAGCGCACATGGAGGAAAACTCCGTTTGACGAGGAAGTTAAAGTACAGTGTCGGTTTCTGTGAGTTTCAATCTATTGGAAAATGCTATGCGAATAATTCAAATCTGGATTTGCATTGGTTAGACTGGTTTGAAAGACTACGGCTCTCGGAAATCCCTTAAAATAGTATTTGTGTATATCCTTCTTCGAACAAAGAAACGGTTAGTGCATCCCTGAAGAAAGAGGAAGACAGCAACTTATCACCCCTAGTTCAAAGACCAGGTGGAAAGGTTTGTGGACTCCTTCAAGAGATCTACAGGGGGATGAGCTACAGCAAGTTGTATTGACAGTTATACCATCTTTGATTAGTCACTAAGGTGTAATCAATATCACGTGTCTTGACCTTAACATCGATACTGACTGAATTCTTTTCAGTTAGTTTTGCGGTGCCATGACCAAGCTAGATGTATTTACAATTCAATTTTATTTTTGTCATTCCTTAGACTTTATGCATGATATTTCCATGGATTAGAATACATTGAAAAATTAAGAGAGGCATTTATTTTTTTCTACCCTCACCTACTGAGTGGAGCATAAAGCTTAAGGTTTTTTGAAGTCTGTCTGTTTAGTGGTGGTATTATTTTTCTACAAGGTTTGATTTGCTAGCCTCAGTCTAAACCTTCCTAGACAGCTGTTTTACCCCCCAGTTCGTGACTTTTCAACGGCACATACCCATGAACCTACAGGAGATCGAATCCAAGATCTTCATACTACACTGGGACGGAATCCAATGGCTGGCATACTTTAACTTCTGGCAAATTATGATACATAGTACGACCACTAGCTGATAACTTTGGCCTGCAGGTCTACTACTATCAGTATTTTGCTAGTATTACTACTTTTTAGTAATTTCGGTCTTATAAATTTTAGCATCATTTTCTTAACTAGCCGTTGATTCATTCTTTTCACCTGTTATATAACATGTTTTGATGCTTAAATAAATCTGGTTTTTCCATATGAGAATGGTTAAAGCCTTCAGTAAATGCAAAGAATAGAGAAACAGATAACCAAGAAATCTCCAAGAGTAATCAAGTAAAATCCTTCATTTCTATTCCATATCACCGTTCTCCAATGAATATAAGGTGTTAGATTTTCGTTGCGAACTAACATCAGTTAGAGAGATCATTGAAAACCAAGGATATGAATATCAATCACCACCTCACTGATGGCTACTGGATGGATCTCCCGAAGCTGCAGTGATCAGAAGTCGTGACCACTATGTGGGATCCACTTTATGCCAAAGTGAAATGGCATTGGTGAGGGCAGCGCTATGCCTGTCTCTCTCTGTCTGTTTTCGACATGGAACTTTGCACATATGTGCGTCAGTTCAAGTCGCCACACTCCCTCCTTGTAGCACACAAAGCAAGAGAAGAAATGCAAAATAGAGACAGTAAACAGAGGTGTGAGACAAAGGAATAGTAATAACGAAGAACAAAACAGTTTAATTGGAGATCATAAGTCAGAAGGAGTGGATGCATCTGCGCCATTGAGAACGATTTTGAACCATGTCACCAGCGCTATATCACAAGTTGACAAAGGGAGAATTCACGCATCATTCGATTTCAACCCAAATGTCTGAATAGTCAATGAATTCGATCACTGGTTAGATCGTGGGTTAGCACTCATGAAGAGTCTCAAAGCGGGACGAAACAGCTGTACAGTAACCCCTGTTTTTCGGTGATCTCTTCAAATGATGTTGGTTCATGACGGAATCTAATAAGTGAAGTTAAATTAACCCATATCTTCACAGATCCTGTAATTCGAATTAAAAGGTGGCTAGACAGTGTTCTATGTCAGGTCATTCTCGTCAAAAATGTATAAATTTGGATAGTGTTATTAAAAGACGGAGATTATCTGAGAAATGTGATGTGTTTGTGCTACACATTTCGAACAATCTGATCACACATTTACTTGCCAAGTCGATATAAATATGAAAAGAATAAAGGGCAGTTAAACAAAATGACAAAAAGGATTTAAGAATAATTAACACAACGTTTGGTAATCCAATCAAATAAATAAGGATTACCATGGTAGGTTAAGATGAATAATAAACTGTTTTTGAACATACCTGGGGGTGGGACTTAAGTTTATGAATAGCTATAGCCTCAGCGTATTTCAATAAGCGACCTTGACCATTTTTATGGATGACCTTAAAGGCTGTATTAACATCAATCTTATGGTTCATCTCGATTAGATGTTTGCCCGTAGACGAAGTTGGTATAGTCTACCACCTGTGTCAATTGATTTTCCATAATTCATCTTTCTTTCTAACCATTTCGGGACAGGCTATGGCTATGCATAAACTTTAGTTTTAGGTTAGGTGGCAAAAGTAAACAATAGACTCCAAAGTCAAATGACCTTGATTTGACCAATCAGTTAGCTCAGATTTTTTTGAACACTTTCTTCTCGAAATCAAAGCTCTCCCTCAGTAATATATTGCGTATATGCAACCAGTACCTGCTATAGCTGGAGAAATAGAAAATACATCGGTTTGATATGTCTATAACCACTTCTATGAGAATCAGGAGCCAGAGAGAGAGATATTTACCCTATATGATTCATTTTTATTACATATATATCGTAGATACACTTTTTTGTAAATTAAGTACTATTTTTCACCTAGAAGAATCTGGTTGGCTGTTTCAACGTTGTCTGAAGTTGGTGTCTATTCTTTACTGTTGCCGGTTTGGTTAGGATTAGGTTAACCTAATTGGGAAGATATCAGGGTTTGTCAGAGATAGATGGTTAGATGCTAGTATCTGCTCTTTAGCTCAATTTCCCATTCTGAGGTTACTGTTGCGTCCGCGTCTTTTGAGTGTACAAAGTTGAAAGTTACCAAATTCATGAGCATAATATTGAAGCTAAAAGGTTTTAGGCTGATTGTATTAACAGATGATGAAGGTTAAAAATGAAAATCTAGGTCATGGCAAGGCTGAAACCATAAGCCTCCAGATTAATTACTTCAAAGCACGTATCTGTTAACCTACGAAAACTTGTTACCAACCGGATCACCATTCTATTATAATCACCAATTTTTGAACTAACTAATTCAACCTGCGTGCATCAATGTTTCAATGACAGAATGCACGCCAATCATGTGAGTAGTCTGCGTTCGACCTCCAACCGATGCTCTCCTAAACTTCACCTAACCAGTAGTTAGTGAAGTGAAGGGGTAAGGTTGGACATGAGGCTAACAGTCCCATCCGCTAAAAGCAAAACAACATCGCTACTGAGATTTCATAATTCAAGTTTGAACCCCCATGTTCCACTGGGAACTCAAAAGTCAATACTCTAACTCAATGTTAGATATTTTGAAATCATGGGGATTTTTAAATTGTTTTGTGGTAGAATTTCGTCTCTGCTTACTTTTATTTCAAATTAAATAAATTTTCTTATTTACTTTTAAATGTTTAAAGGAAGCAGAATGTGATCGTTCACGTCTAGATGTACGTTATGCGGCTGATTCGCATATTGCTAATTCAACTCGTGAATTTCAACTGAAAAAAGCAAGTTTTGATCAAGAAGTGAATACAGCTCGTGCTGAGTCTGAATTAGCCTATAAGTTACAGGTAAGTGATTTTGTTAAAACATCTATGCACACATACGCACACACACACACATTACCATACACTACCTACACATAAGATTCTTCTCTGTTTTGTATCATTTTCCCATGAGTTTTCTTATCCAAATTTTAATAAAAGGCGTGTTAACTTGATCCAAAGTAGGTCATATTGTAACGACAGAAGACAAGGGCCAGGCAACAGATGTTTATTGAGGAAATCAACAGATATTTATAGATTTTTATATACATTATTATTCGTTATTTTAGCAGGGAAGAAACGTCTTCTGATTGGTTGTTTTCCTGCTGAAGGTCATTCTGTCATACCTTTGTTGCCGTTTCTTAGGCGGTCCGGTGATATATCTGCGAATCATATCCGTCCACGCTAAGTCTGCTGTGTTTGGTTGTTGAGTTCCTCAAGGTTAAGCTTTGTTCTTGTTTTTTCTCATGACCAAGATTCGGGACGTAGACATTGACATAAATCGCTGTCTACTAATTTCGGTTAGCAGACAGCTCTCACCACAGTTTTATTACTCATTCTTCCCTAAGGTTCCTATTAGAAGAAAGGACTTCAGGGGCACATCGTCGTTTTATTTTGTTTCCCACAGCCTGTTTTAGCCAGCCCCACTATTGACCATAAGCCTTCATTTCTTCACCACATGATCTTCTTAATGTGAACCTGGGATCCATGCCCAACTGGTCGCCTCCTGTTCGAGTTCCACTCAAGGACCTGGTGCGTGATATTTCACTCAACAGCCATCTCCATTTCCTTCTGCATATTTATTGGGTAATTTGTTGTCTCCTATATTTTCCGGCCAACTAACCATCTGATATTTCGGCGTCGAACGAAATTAGCTGTTGATGAAAGTCTTCATCAAGCTATTGGAAATGAATTTCGTGACACCGGTGCTAAATCTCTAAAGTACATTAAAATACTGACTGATATGATCTCAGTGTGTAAACTTCAGATCCTATCCATTGTACTGATTGTCGTACATTCTCACACACAAGAAAAATATAACAATATATCATAGTGGATAAAATATTCTTAAAATTTTTTATTTAAACTTTAGAGCAAATTTCACCTCGGTTCTTTAATGCAACTGAATTGAAGTGAACCCTCATTACAATAAAAATGCATCAGTTTACACTGCTATACTTCATAAAAGCACACACATGAAAGTACTGCTGATGATTTCCAAACTAGGATGAAACAGCTGTCCAGTACTCCAGTGCTGGTTTTCAATGGTTATCTAACTGATATCAATCCGTGATCAACTCGTAAAATAACGAAACTAATCCTTAAAACCAACTATAGAGAGGTAAATATACAAATAAACTATAATAAATAAAAGTATAAGAGAGGGATAAAGGAACAACGAGATAACTTAATGGATGTAGATGATTGTAGAGTGAGTAGTATCTGTACCACTGAGAACGATTCCGTCTCCAACGATTCCAACATTCTCCAGCCATTGGTTCTTAGCATCTCGTGGACCACAGTCAGCCAGTCTACACCTGCCTATATGACTCGCTCGAACCAACAGTCAAAGACTTCATGAAATGATGACATGTTTTGGCTTTGCTACTCGCAACTCCTTCTCAACTCAACCTTATGTCATCTAACATTACTCAACGAGGAAGGTAATTCCTTGATATACATAATAAAAGTCCTAGCCACCTCGATCGATGAAGCTTCACAACTTCATTGATTTATTTCTCCTACTCTACAGCTAACCTCATTACTGACTGACTGGTTTCAACGTAGGACTATGCACAGATGTGAAGCAGTTCGAGTCCCCACATTTCCTCCTTGTACCACAAAAATAAGAGAATAGAGTAAAAAGAGATTTAAAAGAGAGATAATAAACAGAAATATTGGGCGAAAAGAAAAGAAATATGGAAGAACAATCGAATTATATTGGAAATTATAGATCACAAAGAGTGAATGCATCTGTACCATCCCGAGGACCCCAACCAGTCAGGAAGACTACACCTCCCTACGTAGGTGGCTGGCTGGCTTAGACTAATTGTTGTGCATTTCATTGACCGATGGAGCCATGTTTTGGTTTAACCACCACTAGCTAGCTAGCTCTTTTATAACCTGATCCATCTTATGTCAGTCAGCTAACATTTCCCGTTGGTCGAGGAAGGCGACCAGTGGCTATTCATGCATACGTAACCCATGTCCTCCTAACCATCTCAATCGATGCAGCTGCTTCACAACCTCGTCGATTGCTTGATTCCCCCTCCCACCTACCTAGCACTCGTCTGAGGCCTCACCTCAATGTTGCTCACCTTATCATGCCACTTAAACGGGAGATAGAAAGCAGACACGTATGATGAAAGAGAGCTAGCCAGGCTTTTCATGTCTTTCACTTTCAATGGCCATGTCTGGCTCACAGCCATAAAGGATGACGGGGCGGATTTCTGAATCCTCATTACTACCCGCCATACTGCCGCATCTGGTATGCAGGATTGAATGATAACACCTATGATCAAACCTTCTTAGTTTTTTTCATATCTAACATTTTCATTGACCATATCTCACAGTCGTAAAGTAGAATAAAGCGACTCGCTGTGAACTACTCACGTTCTTCGGTAGATAACCAGTGCTAGAGATGAAAAAAACAACAAATACAAATGGCATTTACCCCATGTACCGGTGTATTTGGAGCAAAGTAATAAAAATCAATTGTTTATAGAAAAAAACAGCTTAATTTTTTAATAATTTTTTATTCTATTATGAATAAATTAGTTATTAACCTACTGTAGAATTAATCTTAATGTATTAGACATAATCATTAAATTGATAATTATAAGGCTAATAGTGCATGCATACATTCATTATGAATGTAATCAACGTTATCTAAACATAAAATGAAGTCAAGACATCGATCTGATTCTTTTAATTAATCAGGTCAACAACCTGATGTTGAAGAATGCTAGTGAAGAATATATATATATATATATATATATATATATATGTATATATACAATAGAGACGATTTGTAGTTCAGTTGGATGATTTTGATGTGGTTGTGTTCTCTAAGCTTGATGATTTAATTGTGAAGCTTTCGCTGTTCTTCTAGACAGTAGCTTCAGCAAGAAACCATAATCCGAAACCAAAAGATAATTCATTCTACCATGTATACATGTATAGAACATTTCTGAAATAATAGAGAAGATTTGTAGCTCAGGTGGATGATTTGCAATTAACAGTGTTCTCTGAGCTGGTTGGTTTAGTTGCGAAGCTTTCGTCGTCCTTCTGGACAACATCTCCAGCGCCATATTTAGCACAAAGTGAAATGATTTAAATTTCTTCATGCGTGATGTAATTGCGTCTCCTGGTTACTATCTTTACATGTGTATTGACCACTTTCTATTGACTTGGATTTTAAACTTTCTGGTCACCTGATATACTTTTTATTGGTTGGTATATTTCGTCTTTATTAACGTGTTTATTAATTGCATTTTCGTTTGAGTACCAGGCTTCTAGGAATTCTCTGGCACTTTTCGTGTTTCCTCTGCTTAAGATTTTGACATGATCCCAATCAAATTTATGACCATAATTGTCTGTATGGATTGATACCAAAGAATACATATCATGTCTTTTCACGGCTGATTTATGTTCTTGGATTCTGATTCGAAGAGGACGCCCACTTTGGCCGATGTAGTGTTTGTTGCAGTTCATACAATTTATTTTGTAAATGGTATTAATTTTATCCCCTTTTTCTGTTGGTTGTCCAGAAGGACGACGAAAGCTTCGCAACTAAACCAACCAGCTCAGAGAACACTGTTAATTGCAAATGGAACATTTCTAAGAGAAAATCTAGAATACAAAGCCATTTGGAATGGATACAGCACACAAACTAACGCAATCACTTCATTCAATACTATATAGACTAAAGGACCTAACAGCAAAAGAAGACAAGATCATCAATACCATTTACAAAATAAATTGTACTAGTTGCCAGAAGCACTTTATTCGTCAAAGTGGGTGTCGTCTTTGACTTCGAATACTAGAACATAAACTAGCTGTGAAAATGCAGGATATGTACTCTTTCTGTAAGGCGAAAACCAACAAACTGGTAGAGAAAGTAGCGAAGACAGTGATTAAGATAACCAGCTGACAACAACAACAACAACCAGCACCAATCACTATCAACGGAAGAAATTTCAAAGAGGATACTTCCTTCACTTATGTAGAAGGTATCGTTTCAACTACAGGCAGCACCGATGAAGATATCAAAGTCAGCCAGATTTGAAAAGTCAAGAGAGACCTTTATGGCCCTAAAATCAGTTTAAAAGTCTTCTACACTCAACATAAGGAATAAGATTCGCATTTTCAACACTAAGCAGTTACAGAATTTGATCATGAGCTGACATTGGTTAGAGAACCATTGGTAAACCTACAAGGAGTACTGGACAGCTGTTTCGTCCTAGTTTGAAATTCTTCAGAAGTACGCATCCACCAGCGGGGTTCGAACGCAGGACCTACTGGTTACGAGGCGAGCTCGTAGAACATTAACATTAACTCGATCCATTGGCGAGCCAGTCTGCGAATTCCAGCTTCTGCCAATTCACGACATAGCGCGACCGCTAGCCAATGTCTTAGGCGAGCATTTGTCCTCACACTCAACCTGCTGCACTCTACTGGTCAAGGCTTCCCAATAGAACCCCAGCTACCTACCTACCTGAATAGGGCCAGTCCCCAGTGAGCATCTCATCGATATTCAAGTATTGGTTTGTAGGGATTCGATTGATTGGTTACAGTCAGTCAGTTATTCTATGTGGGTCAGAAAGTTGACACACGCGTCACGTATAGCATTTCCAACAGGATGCCGACTTTTATCAACAGCTACCTTCGTTGGTTCCATATCAAAGATAAAATAGTCATAAAAAAGTAACAACAACAAACCAAAAACCTATTACTCATCAAATATTCCGAAGAAAATGGAGATGGACTGGATACGCTCCGAGGAGATCGTCAAGTGGAATCTCACG